GTGCAGGTTGCACCCTCTCAGTCAACAATAAACCGTCTGGTTGCAAATTTTCGAGAACAAGGAGCAGTAAGGAACCTTCCTGGTTCCGGCAGACACCGAACTGTCCACACGGCTGACAATATTCAAGTGGTACAGGAGAGTATTCGGGAGGATCCAGAAACATCAACCAGGAGACGTTCGTCACAACTGGGCCTCACAAGAACGTCGCTGCAGCGAATTTTGCACACCATAGGATTGTTTCCATACAAAATTCAACTTGTCCAAGAATTGAAACCAACAGATTACCAGCAACGACTTGACTATGCAATTTATTTCCAGCAAAAAGCACAAGAGAATCCAAATTTTATTCATAACTTAATAATGAGTGACGAAGCCCATTTTCAATTAAATGGGTTCGTTAACAAGCAAAACTGTAGGATATGGGCTAGGGAAAACCCGAGAGTACTTCATCAACGACAATTGCACCCAGTTAAGTGTACCGTTTGGTGCGGTGTTTCTTCAGAAAGGATCATTGGCCCATTTTTTTTTGAAAATGAACAAGGTGTCGCCATTTCCGTCAATGGTGATCGATATCGGGCCATGTTGCAAAATTTTGTAAGGCCAGCCGTGGAAAACCATCCGCAAATATGGTTCCAACAGGATGGAGCCACAGCGCACACTGCGAGGGCCACAATGACTCGTAACAGCAATTTTAATTGGCCTCCGCGGTCCCCGGATTTAACCGCTCCAGACTGTTTTCTTTGGGGCTATTTAAAAGGAAAAGTTTATGTTAATAAGCCTAGGACTATTGAGGAGTTAAAAACCAATATTCGAGAAGAAATTAACAACATACCACCGGAAGTTTTGCGAAAGGTCATGGAAAATGTGTTGGAAAGAGCACATTTGTGCGAAGCAGAATATGGCCACCACTTGCGGGATATCATTTTTAATAACTAATCCAAAAATATTCCCCATAAATTTAATGTATTTAAAAAAAAAATTAAAAAAATATCTCTTAAATAAAAAGTTATAAGCAATTCACACCACTTCGGTCTTTCTGGGCCGCCCTGTATAAATACTTACCATATACCGTACACATATTTATATGTCGACTTTTAATTTTAACATTTATTGCAATAATATTATTATTTAAATATAGAAAGTTAGTTAGGTCTACGTTCTAAGTAAATTCATACTCTGTCTCTTTTTATCCCCCCCCCCCCAAGGAGCGTAAAACGTTTAACGCAACCTTGTTGTAAGTCACATGCGAAGTTTCACTTCAATAAAACACGAACAATATTTATGAAGAAATTGTATAGAATATATTATATCAAGAGAAACGTCAGTAGTCACGTGATGTAAGAAGTTCAAACTCATTGTTTTATGAATAAAATGTTGTAAGACTTATACATATTATAACTCTGTAGTAGTCACGAATAACATTTTTGACTAAGTATATGCAGTATTCGATAGGTAGACATTCAGTGTTTTTCTGTATATTAATCTAGTAAACAAATGAAAAAGTTTGTGATGTTCTATGGTCGTGGTTGTTTGTTGCTCTTTTAGGCAAAAACTAATCAGCGGATTTTGATTAAACTTTTTTTTTGTTAACGCGGTGAAAGGTTTTATACCTACCCCTCCGTCTAGGGGAGACGGAAGCGGTTATGTGGGACTCACGGGCCAGAAGGGCCCATGCTAAAATACCAGTGGTCACTCTCCGTCACCGCCTAGTGGATTGCCAAGGGAATCGCCGAACCATACATCTGCGACGATCCAGCGCCTGGCCGCGAACGGCGCTGCCAGTGACCGAAGGCAACCCGCCAACACTAGGGTAGGGTAGGGTCGAACTTGACAGCGGCGGTGTACACCGCCAAGCCTCGTCAGACCCATCTCCAAGGGCTGCTTCCCCAGTCCAGGGCCTAGACGCCAAAAGGAGCTCAAGGCCCTTCCCCCCTGTGACTGATTGCATCGGAATAAACCGGTGGGCGATAGAGTCGTCACGTCCCGACGCCGTGATTAAACTTTACAGTAATATAGCTTAGACGTCAGATTTAGACATAGAATATCATTTATCTGGGATTTCTATACATGGCACAGAATATGGATGTACATAGGTACTCATAGATGTACATAGGTGTATAATATATTGTTTTCATACACTTTTTATCTTTCCGAATCTGACTGTGAAGTCTATGCCGACGAAGTTGCAAGCAAAAAATAGTTAGCTTATAATGAAAAAAACATTGGATCAATTAACATATTATAATAAACATAGTCATAAATTTGCCATTTTATTTTCAAATACATTGTGATATGCAAAAGGTTATTGGATATAAAGTCGTGGAATGTTTTTTAGAAAATTCCGTGCACTTTATATTTAAAAATTAATATTACACAATCTTTTTGCAGTATTTATTAATTTCAATAATTAAGTTATTTATTATTAAGTTAATTTTCCCATAGAAATTCCTGTAAACATCAAGGATCTTCAAATATTGACCGTTTAAACAATGTCGTAAGCGTTAAATATTGGTTTCAGAGGCTTGTTTGGTAAAATATACAGCGCTTGTTTGACATATATCTAATTAAATATGAATATTCTACTGGTGAATAATAATACTAATTTTTGCTAATTGCTCTTACTAATTGATTTAAACGAATCCTTTTTGTTATTTTTTTTCATAAAATGACATTTTCTAAAAATTATTCCTAGCTAGATCGATTTATCGCCTCCAAAACCCTCTATGTAGGTACTAAATTTAATGAAAATCGTTGGAGCCGATTCCGAGATTCCAATTACATATATATAAGTATACATACAAGAATTGCTCATTTAAATATATAAAATAAGATGTAATATAATATAATGTACACACGTGTAATATGCATCGGGAGTATTATTATTTGTATTTGTATCTAATTCAATACCTTACAAGATAACTGTGTTTATCGTAGATATTATTTTCATATGAATCAATTGTAATAAGTTAAATATATAAATTATGGTTAGAGAAAACTGACAACAGCAATTTCCTTAATTCTTTATTTTAATTCTTATTAGTCAGTATTAATAAAAAATGAAGTTCAAAGAACCTTTTTCAAGCTAACTCATGATATTTATCATATGACAAACAATGTTTTGCTAAAAAAATACTCTAGTATTTCGAATTGCTTATAAAAATAATTTAAAACTGATCATCAGTAAAAGCGTCAACAACAGTTAGAGACATGAGAATTAAAGGTTTATTTCTTAATAAACTCTAGTTAATGTATAGGCATAGATTAAATTTCAGTCAGTTTTTCCATATGTTGAAGACAAAATATAAATGAGACATTGTAAGGGCATTAAATATTAATTAAATAATAATACAAAATATATGAATGACAATAAAATTGAAAAATACATCATGATTAAAAGCTCTTTTATACATCCATTATTGCAAATCTTTTTATTGAAAACATTTCAGTTCCCTGTTGTTTCTTTTCAGTTCTTAATATTTTATAAAACTAGTATTTAAATTTTTCTTAATTTCAATTTTTAATGTTAGCTTCTTATTAAGTTACAAACATCTGCATAAAATGTTTTCATAACCTATTTTAATTAAATACGTGTTGATTCACTAGGCTGTTCTAATTCATGTATCGGCCTTATTTCCTACATAACTTATTTGGTTTGTAAATGGAGACGAAATTTAAACATATTAACTCTGTAGAACAAACGCACAATAATAATTCTTGATCAGAAAAAATAAGTTTGCTATCTGCTTATTTTATTTATGATTATTGATTTATTTAGATTGTTATTTAATTATATTTATAATGTATACATGTTGTCTTTAGCAAATATGACAATGTAAGCAGATGCAATTGCGCAGGATCTCAGCAAAACAAAACGTCGCAGTTTATTGAATGTATAATAATGGTGTTGTCTTAAACCATTCCTATGCATGCTGATGTTTAATATTAATATAGCTCTACTATGATTATAAAATATATTATTCAACGATAATATTTTTGTATAGCGTAAGAAGTGTATTGATGAAAAATAGTGTGGTTGAGTTTCGTCGTTTTGATATTTTTTTATTACAGCCATCTCCAACTGTTTGCAGAACGAGATTTTTTCACGAGTTTTAAAATATGAACTGTTACATTTTTATAAGCTATGTACTAAATTTGATTATAAACAAGAATTCCAATACACACTTTTAACAATATTTAATTATCTCAACCAAAAAATGTGCAAAATTTTAAAGCAAAAATGCCTATAATGATCATGACTGTCATATTATATACCTACTTTTAATATAGATGATGTTGTTACATCTTGAATAACAGTAGAGCAAACAGTAACGTCAATCAGTATTTATTTATCGTAAGCATATCTTGATGTACGACTTCTTGGACGACCGTGATTAATTAGTCTGAGTTCAGACTGTAACCGTGTTTGTCGTCTGAGTCGATAAAGATTAGAAGTCTTGCAAAATTTTTTATGCAAAATATTTATTTATAATGAAACTCTTTGTTCACTTTAAGCTACTTGTTCATTAAATTGTAATTTTATAACATATACTAATATGCTTACTAATATACTTCTAGCAAATATATATATGTATTCTTAATTTAATTTGTTTAACCCCATATAGATGAAATGGCATGAAAGTAAAATTTATAAGATTTACAAGATACAGAATGCTAGTGAACCGAAGTTATTTTAGGGGATTTTGTGTATAAATATTCATTTTGTCTCAGGGACCATCCCCTTCATTGTGAATATAGATCCGAAGCTTACCCCTCAGTCAACAAGATCGCAACACAATAGACGGTAAAATTGAAACGAATATTAACAAAAATGTGTAAGGATTTTGTTATAAAAAATAAACATACAAAACGCTTATAAGTCTCAATTTATTGTTTCTAAGATATTGAAAACATTAAAACTATGAGATAGGACTGAATTACTTTAGAGATTAACCAAATCCTATAAAAATATGTCTCTCGATCGGTTGTCGCACGAGTTGTTTTTACTTTCCCATTCGTTGTATCGACCACTCTTGTTGGCAGAGGGGACATCGGTTGTTCTGTTTCACCCACAAAGACATGCAACAGAAATGAAAACTATGGTTGCATTCTCCCCATACAACCACACAGTCTTGCTTGCCATATGAATCCTTCTTGCTTTCACCCTGGCATCTTAGGCAGGCATCTGAAAATAAAAATACATTTATTATAATCTCTTTTTCAAAAAGAACCACTTTAAAAATTATTTTTATAATACCATCATAAGTATTCGTTTTTTTTAAGATGAAATATATTTTCTATAATTCACACATCATTTTAGTGTGATACATGGAAATAACATTAGATAAAATATATTTTTAGTTCAAACATTTTGTAAATCATCCAACATGAAATATTCATTAAGTAACGTAAACAATTATATATATATAATATACACTAGTTTTTGCCTGCGGCTCCGTCTGCGTAAGAGAGTAAGGTATAGTTTTTTAATTGCAATAATAATAAGTATACTTATATAAATAGATATATATATATATGTGTATAAGGTGTCAGAGATAATTGCCGTCGTTAATATGCAATATAACAAAGCATTTCAAATATTTTATACTGTATTATAGTCGCGTATTCTGTAATTATAATTTTATTATTTTCAAATGGCGTCAATTTACAAACAGTAAACAAGGCAATTCCTTTGGAATGCAGTTTATTAAGTATATTAATTTAAAACTTTAGTAATTTAATAGTTAAATTAAAATCATATAGAGAATAGATAATTAATTAATAAGGCTAAGACCTTCGGTTTAATATTATAAAGACTAAATATCTGTTGTGCCATAATATATTTTTTGCTAATACTGTACACTTGACAAACATTCAATTCGCTCACAGCTTGATACATTTAATTTGAAATGCCGGAAATTAACCAAATAAGGTTGAGGTTGCTAGATTAAATATAATTTCGACACTCGTTTTCCTTGATTGCAGGTATAAAATATTTTTTTATATAATTTCATAAGAAGTTATGACGTATTCGTATTCCCGTATCCTTATAACTATGTAGATTGTATCGCAAGTTTATCTTTCATAAATCATATCAAATGTATTTTAGGCACATTAATGAAATACTAAAAACCGGGAGAGTATCATTTGATAGACTTGTGGTAAGAATAACAAAGTAATTATTACGAAATTTTCGTGCGTTATATCATATATATAAAAAGTTTATTTCTATTAAAAAAATTATGATTTCTATTTTAACGTCCTAATCTGTTTACAGTTAACACGGGAAGGAAGAACGCAAAATGTTTTACGAACATCATCCCGTCATTACGAAAATGTTGAAATTTGTTTAATAAAACTAAAATAGTTCTAAAACTCTAAATTTGCGTTCTATCTGATATGAATGGTATTAAAAAGATATTCTGTGTCAAAGATGGTGTCTTATATGCATAAGAGCGGCGTGTTTGGCGTTCCCGGCACGCTGCTCTTGAGTCGGAGGGGTGGTGTGGTCTAGCCACTGATACCCCTGCCGATGGCGGAGTCCCTTTCGGGACTGGTGCGTAGTGAGCGGAAGCATGGCTCGCCGTTCCCGCTCACTAGCCTACGCAAGAGAACGCCGAGGTGGTTTAGTGGTTGGAAATCCCACACGCCCCTGTCGCGTTTCCCCCGCGGCAGGAAGTCTTTAAAAGATTCCCCTCGATAAAAAAAAACATGGTGTCTTATATGCAAATCTTGATTGTGTGTGTGAGTAAATAACGAGACAGTCATCGCCATATCTACATACGAATTAAATATATAGCTTTTAAATTAATGTATTTCTGTCAATGGTTTATTTAATTAAATATAACGATAAAACATTTTATGTTCATATTTTCTTGTACATTTTCCTTGACAATTAATAAAAACAAAACAATTAAATATCCGTCCTTGATACATTTATTAAAAATTTTCTTAGAGTTCTTTTTAATTATTAAGTCTCAGCACTTTCTTAAACTATAGCCAAGTAACAGCATGAATGTTTAAAAAATTTAATTATTCATTTTGTTAGATATAACGTGCTGAAGTCTTATAATATTCTAACGTATTTTAAAGAAAACGTTCACATTTTAACGGGTTGTTTAAAAGGAAATAATGCATCCATTTGTTATTTAAAAGTATTTTTCAACCTTTCAGACTAAACAAGTAATAATTCACTTGTCACGAAATCTTTATTTTATAATGCTGCCTTCTGAAAACTGGTAACGAGCGTCATTTGAGATGTGTAAGTAAATATCACTTAGTGTGACGCTAATTAAATTACCATAAATTTTGTATGGTAAATTTTAAAGGTATGATATTGATTTACAGCAGGAAAGGAAATTCTATAAAAAAAATTATAAATGTTATAACATATATGGGCCTTGTTAATATTAGTTTTTATAGTTTTAACACTTGTGTATGTATGTTCGTGTATGGTTAATAACTTCAATAGTGCTATCCAAGTGGTAAATATGTGTTCATAAGAGTACGCATATTGTTTATATAAACAACAGCCTTGTAATTTAAAGGTTTGTTTGCTGTTAGCAATATTTTTATTAACACCGTAGTAACACATATCAGCTTTATGAAGACCGTGGATTTTTATTTATCAATTTTTTTGGTAATACGTACATATATCTTATTATATCTGTTAAAAAGCGCATTCAACTTCGGTCAAGAAAAGCATTGATTCAGTGGGGTGATTGATCTGAATTGTTTATTTATAGTATTCGTTTGGTATTTCATTTGGCAAGATGACAATTTCAATTATAGACACAGTATTTTATTAGGTAATGACGTAATTAATGTCTAATATGCGTGTTAATGATGTTCACAATTCATGAATTCAACCGATGCGATGTTACTCTTTTTTATTGATGGGTTATATTAAGTGAGGTAGATCAAATTACAATCGAGTGGAACACTTCAGATTTTTATTGAGCTATCATAATGTACGTATAAATATAGATACCAATCAATACAATATATTATCATGATGGACGAGTATCGATTCCGACGTTGATAAAATTCATACAACACCTGTATATATACTTTTCACTTTTCATTATCACAGTTGAACTTGACATTGTTATAACTTTTATATACTTATTATATAAAGCTATTTTATAATGTCATGGCTTATTATGTGAGAAAGAAGGTCGAAAAGCGTATGCAGGCGACTAAATTGAAATGGAAGTAGATAAGACAATGCATTTGAATTAGTTGTGCCATTTATAGTGAGTTTTTCTAAATAAAACAGATAAATTGAAATGTTTCAGGTCTGTTAGGAGGAGAAGAAGCGGTGTATGTAATGCATTGTAATCGGTGAAATCATTGTGGCGCAACTTGAAGGATTTCATTTGATAGTACCATTGACACTAAGTGGGATACACTGTCACGATGTCTTTATTTGCATTTTTTTGTTGGTTCTACAATGCAGAGGTTAAACAATCTATACTAATATTATAAAGCTGAAGAGTCTGTTGGTTTGTTGGACTGTGTTTATCTCAGGAACTGGTTCGAATTGAAAAATTATTTTTGTGTCGATTAGACCATTTATTGAGAAAGACTTTCGGAAAGCTCTATAACATAACAAAAGGAGCGAAAAAAAAACGCAAAATGTGGAGAAAACCGGGAAAAAAGCATGTATGAAAGAATTATTCGTTTTGAAATAATCTAAAAAAAAGTCCGTGACAGTACATTTCTATATTTTAAGTCTAACTCACTAGTATCTCTTTTATGGTAATCCAAGTTGTTCGAAATTAATGCACTATTACCAATTATTATTTGTTAGAGTTATATCATCATACTAAAATTAGTCTTTATCCAAATAAATGTGTTGTTGATTAAAAGTATTTCGTTGTGAACAAAATTTTCTTTGCCATCATTTTATTTTAATGAATAATAACAAGAATCGACGCGGTCAAAGTCGTGGGCAACAGCTATATTTTAAATAACTAGGGAGGTTGTTTACAAAAATAAATGTGATGCCCAAAATAACTATTTCAGGTGGTCGAAGTCGCGGGCACATATAGTATTATATATGCCTTTAAGTAACTCTTTTAGAGACTTCAAATAAGACAGTTATATTCAATTACATAAATATTTCTTAGAATAAACAGTTTCAGATAAATAATATTATGTAAGGTGAGGCTAGATGAATATCTATAAAGCCACATCTTTAATGGCAGGTGTATTCGAAAGTCGGACAGTTAAGTTTCTTAGCTTTGTTGTGTAACATTCGTTAGTTCTTAGGTAGTTTCGAGTGAGTACATATCTGTTAGTTGCCAGTGTCGAAAGCAAATGGTAGCCATTTTCTTGAAACAAATTCGTCCTGAAGAAACCGATGTTATATGTTACAGCGTTTTAAATAAGGCTGAATTATCTGGTATTCTATGGGATTCCCTGGCAGGCCAATATAGGAACACCTATTCAAAACTAACCTGAAAGCTCAGCCAAATTTTCCCGGGGGAATTATAACTCAAGGCTTCAGCCTTAACGTTTACACTCAAAAGGCATGTGTGGTATATCTGTAGGTGGTAAAGCCTAGCTGTAGTCATGTTACTACAGATCGAACATGAGCCACAGGGAATATAGCCCTAAAAAGCAATAGCACTCAGAAAATGCTTTCAAGAGCAAATCCTATTATTGCCCTAAGGTGTTCGAATGAAAATCCTGGATATTATTTGTGCTGAAGCTAATGACTCTTTTAAAAAACAAATTGTTTTTTGCGGATAGTTTTCAGTATTATAAATTAAATATGAATCTCCCATAATTTTTTTATAGCTGTTTCGCCTTTAAAGTAACTACAGGCCATTATTTTTGGATTCAAGGTCAGATTTCTCGGGAAGTAAAATTTTCCTATCGCAAAAATATTTATAAAAGCTAAAAATGCGTTTTTTTACAATTGATTCATATGAATGCTATTAATTCCGAGTCGCTGCAATTCTCTTTTCTTAAGATCACTTATTTTCGAGCAATTTATTTTAATTACACTACTAGCGAGTTGTATAATTATTAGAAATTATTTATTATTTATGTGCGGAAAATAAACAGTAATTTATATTCTGTAATTTATTGAAAACATCCATTGTAGAACGCCTATAGTACTCACATATCCACACTAATGCAATCCGATATACGTAATGGAGTATTTGAAACGATTCG